TTGACTCAATTGTAATAATAATTCTACAAATATTAAGCATTGATTGCATTTTTACTTTGAATAAAACTTCTTATAATTGTTTAAACAGATTTCAATTGTCTTTAGTTTTGGACTTTTGAACAACACATCCGAGAAATCATTGTCCGAGAGATCAATGGTTACAAAGCATTGAACGACAAGTGTTTGCAGAGCCGGTAGTGTCGAGATCTGATCCAAACAATGGCGGCTAAAGTTTAGGCATTCAATGGATAGGTATTGAAGTCGTGGCCAAAGTTCGTGACAATTGACAAATAAATTGCTGTTTAATTGCAAACATTTGAACGATAAATGTGTCAATCTTTGGCCCGGAATCCGGAGACTAAACCATTGAGAATCGATAGTTAAATCAAATCGTTTTAATTGTCGAAACACTTCCAGTGAATCCAATGTCGAGACTTTGATTTGAGTGGTTTGAGAGTACAATCCGAGTGACAATCGTTTCAATTGTTTGCAATTCACACCAATTGTGCGCAAAGAGTCGGCCAAAGGGTAGTGTTTGGGAAACGCGCAGAATTCGAGCCTCAATTGCCGTAATTGTGGTAATCGTGACAATTGTTCGGTCAATTCGCTGAGTGTCTCCCGAGTGTTGAATTTGATCTCTTTTATGAAAAGACTTCTGAGGGACTGATTCTCGGCCACGAATGCCGACAACAAATGGTTGTTAAAGTCTTTCAGTTTGAATGTGAACTTAAAACTCAACAAATTCTTCGCCATTAGTCCGTATTTCTGGTCAAATACATAGCATATAAAAGTGACCGACAAATGAGACAATCGGTGGTAATTAATGAACGATTTTTTGGCCGAAACTCCGCTAATTCTGGTGACCAGAGGTCTTAACTTTGGTATCAATTCATAACGATTTGAAGGTATATAGCAGTAAATGTGCCGCAAATACCGGCAATTGTCGTGAAATATTTGCAAACCATTGTTATTACATATCATTTCTCGATTGTCAATGGTTTGAATGTTTGGAAACTTTTTGGCAATTGTTTCCATCGTTTGCGTTAATGTTGTCTTTGTTTTAAGTATTTTGCTAATGAGTTGATCATTGAGTTCGATATCCATAACACTGTCGAAGACTGTCCTCTGGAACTGTTTGGACACACATTCGTAGCGAAACCGATCTTCGGGTGAGAGATAGGATAATATGAGTCCAAACATGTCGTCACCGAATCTGTCCATTGAGTTCTTCGCGTAAACCTTCGGCTAAAATGCGAGACAAAAACAAAACTCAATAAACAGTCAATTATTTGACAAATACCTGTTGAATGTCTTTGTCTTCGCCGTCATCTGTGGTCTCAAGTGATGCCATCAAATGTGTTATCTGTTGAGCCATATCTTGGGATCAACTGAACTGATAGTACGAAACGTTTGCTTAAAATTACAATAAAATAGTTTTCAAATCAAAATTAATGCCAAAAACAATGCTTTCAAAGAAATGCAAACAAAATAATCATTCAATGCTTTAATTGAAACAATAGTGCACTGCATATGAGAAGAGGTGTTATTTAAACCGAGTGTCGATTGTATTTGAGTATAGTTTTCATAAGGCTTGGAAGACAATACATTCAATACTCGCTTTAAATGACATTATAATAGAAATAATGTTAATATAAATACAAAGTATTGAAATAATAACGAGTGTTGACTGTATTGTTATAAAACAGCAAAAAGTTTAATCAAAATATATTACTCCACAACTAATGCATACAAATTGTACTCATATTTGGTATTTATTAATACAATTTGTGTTCAATTTTTGTAGACATTATTTCAATGCAAACACAAGTGAAGTAATATTTGGACACAAAGTGATTGACTTTTGTTTCGTATTTCAATCAAACCATTCATACAATCACTTCATTTGATCCCAAGATATGGCACAACAGATGAAACACTTGAAGACATCACTCGAGACCATAGATGACGGCAATGAAGACAATAAACAACAGGTATTTAATAAACACTTTAATAATTAATGTTTATTGAGTTAATTGTGTTTTGTCTCACATTTTAGTCTAAGATTTACGCGAAGGACTCAATGGACAGATTCGGTGATGATTTGTGTGCACTCATAGTGTCTTATCTCACATTTGAAGACCGATTTCGTTACGAATGTGTGTCCAAACAGTTCCGGAGGACAGTCTTCGGGAGTGTTGTGGACATCAATCTCAATGTCAAACCCATTAAACGAGAAGACAATTCAAAGACTCCTTTGTTTACAATAATGAAAATAATAAGAAAAAAGTGTCCAAACATTGAAAGGATTGACTTTCGAGGCGTTGGAGACACCGATCAATACATTCTCGAATTGTTTCCCACAATTCAACACAAATTCCCGAAATTGCGGGAAATTTACTGTAACTTCACGTCAAACAGCGACCGATGGGTACAACAGTTGTCACCACTCGTCACACGTGTTGGCGATATATCGCCGGCAAAGAAACAATCGCTCACTCATTGCCACCGATTGTCTAATTTAAGTGTCAATTCGTTGTCCGATGTGTTCGACAACACTTCCGGACAGCTATTGGCGAAGAATTTGCACTCATTTAAGATTAAGCGCTGCGATGGCAGCGAACGGTTGGCCCGATTCGTGGCCGGGAATCAGTCACTGAAGTTCGTTGATATCTTATGTGAAAATCCCAACCATTTGACCGAAATGTGCGGACATTTGTCACGATTACCACATCTACGGAAACTGACACTCGGGTCGGTGTTAATGACTGGTCAGACACCGATGTTTCACCACTCTTTGCGCACAATTGGCGTGAATTGCAAACAATTGAAACGATTGTCACTCGCATTGGTCTCTAAGACATCCCATCTTAAGAGTATGAATGAGCTGAAACACTACCGACGGCTAACACGTTTGATGATAGCTTTAAAACCATTAGACAGCACTTTGCTGTCCAATTATGGCCAACATTTGCCGCCACTTCAATGGCTAACCATCTTAACGGACACAATCACTCGCGAGTGTTTGTCTCACATCTCAAGACTACCGGCGCTGCAAACGCTTGTCATTCACTGCAATCAAGACATTGATCTCTCGGATAATGATTTCAATGATGTGTTGTCCAGAAGTCCTAAACTCAAAGATATTTTTATCTCTATAAACAATAAGAATAAGTTATATTCAAAATAAATTTAAGTAAAAATGTTATAAATGTTAATTAATTACAATTTTTTAAAATTCATTTTAATTGTAATTAAATTACTGTTTATTTCTGTTATAACATTATATTTAACGACAAATCGAAAACTAATTTTTCACAATAAACTTTTAAATTGAAATTCTAATCACTACAGTATATCTTGAATTTCTGTAACAATACTGTAAGTGTTGAAATAATAACGAGAGTCGACTGTATTGTTATAACGCGACAAAAAGTTTATTCAAAATATATTACTCCACAACTAATGCATACAAACTGTACTCATATTCCATATCTATTCATACAATTTGTTTGCATTTTTTGTAGACATTATTTCAATAATAGAAACAGAAGTGAAGTCTATATTCGAGTGAAAAGTGATTTAAAAATTGATTGATTTTTGTTTCACATTTCAATCAAACCATTCATACAATCACTTCATTTGATCCCAAGATATGTTACAACTAATGAAATACATGAAGACATCACTCGAGACCACAGATGATGGCAAAGACGAAGACATTCAACAGGTTTTTGATTAACATTTGAGTGTTTATTGAGTTTTAATTATTTTTATCTCATTTTAGCCGCAAATCTATGCGAAAGACTCTTTGGATCGATTCGGTGATGATTTGTGTGCACTTATAGTGTCTTATCTGACAGTCGACGACAGGTTTCGATTGGAATGTGTGTCCAAACAGTTCCAGAGGACAGTCTTCGGGAGTGTTGTGGACATCAATCTTAGCGATCGATTTGTTTATTTACTACTGAAAGAGAAGAGATGTGACACTCAATTGTTGGCCACAATTACCATAAAGTGTCCAAACATTCAGACCATTGACTGCCGAGGAATAACTCTTATATATGAAGAACACATTCCCGAAGTGTTGACCACATTTCGAGACAATTGCCGGCATTTGCGGGATATTTACTGCAATTTATGGATAGGTTGCGCCCGAATGCGTTCATTGGTACCACTGGTCACCCGAATCGGCCACATATACTCCTGTAGTTACATACATGTGATCAATCATTGCCACCGATTGTCTGAATTACGGATCAACTCATTGAAGTACGTCTTCCGTAACGGTTATCTCTTGGCTAAGAATTTGTCTAAATGTGAGTTAAAAGACATTTCAGACCACGATTTGTACCAATTGTCTGTATTTGTGACACACAATGAGTGCCTCAAAAGTTTTGAAGTAACGATCGTTAGTCTCAGTAGAACCGAGACTTTGACCGAACTGTGCGGACAATTGTCACGATTAACACAATTACGGCAATTGGTGTTCGGTTTGCAGCTTAATGTCGGCCACGAGTTAGTGATTAACTCATGTTTGCGTACAATTGGTGTGAATTGCAAACAATTGAAACGATTGTCAGTCAGTGTTTTCACGACGTCTACCGAACTGATTGTCCAGACATTGGATTCGTTGAGATTTTACCCGCAATTAAAACGCTTGGACTTGAAATTCGTGAACGTTTTGTTGGATCCGTTGCGACACTGCGAGAGATTAACGCATTTAGAGCTGGATTTATTGGGAGTAAACGTAAATTTGTTGACAAATGTGTTTCACAATTGTACACGACTTCAACACTTGTCAATTGGATCTAATTATATGACTCGCGAGCGTTTGGATCCCTTCCCAAGACTACCGGCGCTGCAAACGCTTGTCATCGAGAGTTGGCGTGAAAGTGATCTCTCAGATAATGATTACTCGGATCTGTTCTCTTCGAGTCCTAGACTTAAAAACATTGAAATCCGTGTAAACAATGAGAAGAAGTTTTATTCAAAGTAAAAATGAATCAAATGTTTAGTTATTTATTAATACAATTCATTTGATTTGCAAAATGTTATAACAAATCTATCATTAGTTTAATATAACATAAACTTTGTTAATATAGATAAGAATAAGTCTTTTATAATTTGTGGTTATATTAAGATTTAGTTTATTATATTATACCATATATTGATTGTATTTATAAATGTATTCGTTTCTTATGCTTTATCACTCAATACCGACAACTTTCGCTATAAGTATTGCAAACGATTTATAAACATATAATGCAATGCAGAATATGTTATGCTTTTAATTCATTAAAAATATAGAAATTAAATAAATTTTTGGCATTTAATCAACAGATTTGAAAAATAAAACACAAAACGAATGAATAATTGAATTAAATGTGATATAAAAGACATTCATTGGAAGTCTATATTTAAGACGTAATTAATCTTTATTTAAAAGTGATTTAAAAGTTAATTACATTTGATTTGTGTTTGAATTCATAACTAAACCATTCATTTCATCACTTTATTTGATCCCAAGATATGGCGCATCACATGAAACACTCGAAGATATCACTCGAGACCATAGATAATGGCGAAGAGTTGGACAAACAACAGGTATTTATCATAAAATCAATTGTTTATTGAATTAATTGTTTTTGTCTCACATTTAGACACAAATCTTTGCCAAAGACTCTTTGGATCGATTCGGTGATGACATGTTTGGACTGTTGTTATCTTATCTCTCATTTGAAGACCGATTTCGATGCGAATGTGTGTCCAAACAGTTCCAAAGGACTGTCTTCGAGAGTGTTGTCGACATCAATATTAGCGATGGATTTATGTATAAATTACTGACAAATAAGAAGACAATTTTCGCACAAATGTTGGCCACAATTGCCATAAAATGTTCAAACATTCAATACATTGACTGCAGAGGAATAACCAATGGATATGAAGAACACATTTTTAGAGCGTTGGCTATATTTCGATACAATTGCCGACATTTGCGGCAAATTTACTGCAATTTTTGGAGACATAATTTGCAAACAACGCGTTCATTGGGATCACTGGTCACCCGAATCGGTGACATTGACTCCTATTACAATCGTTTAGCACTCGTCTATTGCCACCGATTGTCTCGATTACGGGTCAAATCACTTGACGACATCTTCGGCTCATATAAGGATCAGCTCTTCGCTAAGAAATTACACACATTTGAAGTTAAATACTTTCATTTATACAACTATTTGCACCGATTGTCTACATTTGTGGCACACAATCAGAGTCTCAATAGTCTGATCGTCAGGAATACAATTCTCAACCCTCAGGAGTTCGTAGAACTGTGCGGACAATTGTCACGATTACCGCTATTACGAGATTTAAGTCTCAATATAAGGCTAATCAATGGCCAGAACTCATTGAACTCGTCTTTGCGTACAATTGGCGTGAATTGCAAACAATTGAAACGATTGTCACTCACTGTGTACTCAAATCCTACCGAAACAATAACACAGACATTGAATTCGTTAGTATTTTACCCGCAATTAAAACGATTGCATTTAACACTCATCGGTGCCGTCGGTAATGGTTTGTTGGTTTCGTTGGGACACTGCCAGACATTAACGCATTTAGAGCTGGATTTGCCGCGAATTGACATCAATTTGTTTGAAAATGTGGATAAAAATTATTTAAGACTTCATTATCTATGGATCAAAACCACTGTTATTACTCCCGAGTGTTTGTCACACATCTCAAGACTGCCGGCGCTGCAAACGCTTGTCATTCACTTCAATAGAAGCGATCGTTTGTGTGGTAATGATTTCAGTGATCTGTTGGCTAAATGTCCTAAACTTAAGACAATTGAAACCCATTTAAACAATGTCTCGAAGTATTAGTCAAAAATGCTATAAATATTAATTAAAAGTAATTACTTTCTGTTAATTGTTTATAATTTTTTCTAACTTTATTTGTAATATTATTTTTGACAGTAATTTGAATTTAATTTTGACTCTTAATTATAAATTGATGTAATGTTTGGTCTAAATATAATTAATGTAATTGTAATAAATGAATGAACTATTTCTGACTTCAATTAAAATTATAAAAATAACTTTAAGTAAATTACTATCAAAATTATAATACTATTTAATAACATTTTATAGTTACATTTTATTTTATTTATTTAATATTTGTTAAAATAATTTCTATCAATTTAAATGTTTTTTATTTAAAAATATAATTTTTGTAATTAATTTTAAATATGTGGCCAAAAGTTGACTGAAAAGTGAGAGTATATTGAGATTTAATTTCTTATATTATACCAAATATTGATTGTATTTATAATTTGAATCATTTCTTATGATTTTGTGAGTGAATACAGACTACTTTCGCTATAAGTGTTGCAAACAATTGAAAACTATTTATAAACATATAATGAAATACAATATATGTTATGTTTTTAATTGATTAAAAATATAGAAATTTAATAAATTTATTTCATTTAATCAATAAATTTGTAAATAAAACACAAAACGAGTGAATAATTGAATTAAAAAGTGATATAAATTTGACATTCATTTGAAGTCTATATTTGAGACGTAATTAATGTTTGATTAAAAAGTGATTCAAAAGTTTTGAATTAAAAGTAAATTACATTTGATTTGTATTTGAATTCATAACCAAACCATTCATTTCATCACTTTATTTGATCCCAAGATATGGCGCATCACATGAAACACAAGAAGATATCACTCGAGACTATAGATGACAGCGAAGAGGAGGACATTCAACAGGTATTTACCATAAAATCAATTGTTTATTGAATTAATTATTTTGTTTCACATTTAGACACAAATCTATGCGAAAGACTCTTTGGATCGATTCGGTGATGACATGTTTGGACTGTTGTTATCATATCTCTCATCCGAAGACCGATTTCGATGCGAATGTGTGTCCAAACAGATCCAGAGGACAGTCTTCGGGAGTATTGTCGACATCAGACTTAGCGATGGATTTATTAAGAGATTATTGACAAATGAGAAGACAATTGACGCACAAATGTTGGCCACAATTGCCATCAAGTGTTTGAATATTCAATGCATTGACTTAAGAGGAATGACCAGAAAATATGAGGAACTCATTCCCGAAGTGTTGAACACATTTCGAGACAATTGCCGGCATTTAAAGGAATTTTATCGG